CATTGAATGATTTTATTTCTGTGCCGTTAACTAACAAAGTGGAACTACATGACAGTTTAAAATCCAAAGTTCATAACTGGGTTTTAGGTTCATCGTTTTACAATGCTTTTTAAACTAATCACCAAGGAACCAAAAAGCCTTGGGGGTCTAAATTTTTCCACTGATTGCAGGTTTTGTGTGACGAGCAATATGATGACAAATGGTACATTGATAGTAGTTGCTCTCATCACATGACTGGAAGGAAGGAAATCTTGCGAGACTATCGAAGCTTGGAGAATGATGGAGTAGTAAAGTTTGGAAATAACCGAAAGTGTCAAGTCAAAGGTTATGGAAAAGTCACGAATGAAAAGTTTACAGTAAATAGGGTTGCATATGTCGAAGGACCTCAACACAACTCGATAAGTGTTTCGCAACTTGTTGTGGGCACTTGTAGTCAGGTTTTTTATGAAGAAGGAAGCATGATTTCGAACAAGGAAACAAAAGAAGTTTTGATTAAATCCAAACGAAATGGCGACATGTTTAACCTTGACATTAAACCAATTGTTGGTGTTCCCTCTGTGTGCTTACCTTCCAAAGCTTCATCTGATATTAGCTGGCTCTGACATCGAAGACTTTCACATCTGAACTTTAGGAATTTGAATAAATTGGTGGTAAATGACCATGTTCGTGGTTTGCCTATATTTAAATTTGATAATGATACTTTGTGGGAAACTTGCGAACAAGGGAAACAACATCAACAAGGTCATCCTATTGTCATTGATTCGAAGATCGTTGAACCTTTGGAACTTCTTCACGTTGACCTTTGTGGGCCTTCAAATGTTAAAACTCTTAACAAGGATAGGTACATTTTGGTCATTGTTAATGACTTTTCAAGGTTTACTTGGGTATATTGTCTATGACTAATGTATTATTAAGTGGAAAAAGATGCACTCTTGGTCCCTTTGAGATTAAAAGACTAGATCTTATTTGTTGGGACCATTCTAATGAATAAAGTTGGAAACTTTATCCATTATGAAGCTATTAGGAACCATAAGAATGTGATCTTGGTCCTCCTATCCCTTTCATGAAATATTTATGATGTCTTAATGAATTAATAAGTTAGGGGTTTTGGCTTTTGGACATTTTCTAGCCATGGAATGTCATAAAGGTGGAAAAGTTATGACTTAAATCTATGTTTAGAGTCTAGATCTGAGCTCTGGACAAAAGGTCTTAAGGGATAAAGTGCTTAACGGAAATGTTGGATCCAACTTGCGTACATTGGGTATAAGTTGAGTATGTTGGGCATAATAGGCCCGAACCACATACGTTGGGTGTAAGTTAAGTACACATAGCATACTCAAATAGCCTTGGACTTCAACTTTTGTTGACTTCCGTTGACCCTTGACTTTTTTACCAAGTTTGACTTTGGGTCAAACTTGAGGATTTTGGACTATTGATTAAGAATCTATCTTGTTTTTGTGATAGTGGATTCACGGGAGCCAACAGTGCAAAAGGGAGCATATCACAGTGTTTCAAGGTTCTTTGATTCTGGTTTTATTGGTGCTCGTAGGAAGGAAATGTGAGATTGTACACACTCATCAACAACATTGAGGATTCCACGTTTCTTATATTATTCTGATTTTCAATAAATGTATTTAAGAATAAACAATTTTCTTAATAATGGATTTATAATTGGGAAGTTTTACCTTAATAAAATGAAAAATTTTGGTTGTGAATATGAGACGTTACAGATTAAACCAACTCCAGAAAAATTATAGGGCTACAATGTCATTTTCTGATTAAATTATGTAAAGAGAAGTAAATAATCACAAGCCAAATTAAAATATTAAGTAACTTATTGAGCTATTGGAGATTCAATTAGGGAAAGATAATTTATTTGTTAGAAATAGTGTCCAAGGTCATTAATTACTTGTAATATTTTCTAATAATAACAGGGTCTTTTTGGTTTGCCCTTATGACCCAATTGAACAAAAAGAAATAGGAGAAAATAAGTTCGTTAATTTATTATAGTTTAATAATTTAATTAGAAATTATTTTTGGAATTAATTAAATAATTTTAATTAATTAAATGGTTGAATATTAATTAGTTAAATGTTAACTAATTGGGCTGGGGAAATTCGGAAATCACTTCATCCCACATGGGATGGGAGATGAAACACAAAATTCACGCCATCCAACATGAGATAGGGAATGAAACTAATGTAAGGATCCATGCTATAAAAGGGGTGCTTGGGATTTTCATTCTCCTTGAACTTTGGCTTGATTTTTCGCCATCCTTCTTCCTCTCCTTTCTTAGTGGATGGTTTCTTACCCTCTTAGGGTTTGTGAAATTGACCCTCATCCTAGTTTATTGTTTGGTACTCTCTTGGAGACTTGGGTTTGAAATGAAAGGGGTTCCTACTACCTCTTCATCTAAAGAAAAAGTGGTTGTGATTAGATCTTACTTGAGGAGTCTTCCAAAAGATCAAAAAGATTAAGAACACCAAGAGGTTAGTAATTCTATTGTCATTTTTCATAAGTAGGTTGCTATAATAGAATAAACCTAGATCCTTTAGGGTGTATGTAAACATATGATTTTATATTGCTTTCGTTGCCATAACTAGTGTGTATAGAATGCTAGAAAACCTATCATTATTGTTTTTAACTCAATAAGAAATAGAAGCATATTTTGGTTCTAACAAAATGTTGCATATAAAGGTGTTTGTTTATGTTTAATTAAGTTAGGTTTCCTTTCCAATTAATGTACACTAGCATAAACTATATAATTTGCGTATTGTAAAGAATTTTTTATTTTCATTGCTACAAATAAAATCTAGACTTATGTTTTTAATTTTCCTACCATGATTTTAGAGATTGAAATTTGATTCTTGGAAGCATAAGGAAGGCAAGCTTGAATCTTAATCAAATGAGGATACTTCCAAATGGTGTTGTGATTTTTTTGGGCCTTTTTATGTCATCACCCCTCTTCCTATTTTTTGTATATGTGTGATGTTCTCTATGTTTTAAATCTCTTCAATTCTCAATCCGGGTTAGGCCGGGTCCGAAACCACACATCCTTAAAGATCACACTTACTAGTAGAACCGAACCAAAACCGAAAGTGAGGTATCCAATCCTGTTTTCAACTCTCTATTTTCCACTAAATTGGTTCTTGGTTCTTCGGTTCTCGATACAGTTAAGTCTGGGTTTGGATCGATGTCATCCCTAGTTGGATTCAACGAATCGTCTTAATGACGACATATATAATTAATTGACAACTTTCTTTTCAATTCAAAATTTTATATTTTAGCAAATATTATATATAAATTAAATATCTAACTATTAGTTGCTTGATGTTACAAAATAACCATCAATAACTCTAAAATTTTATGTAAGTCACTCATCTCTTAGTTATACTCAATAGGCTAATAAACTTTCCTTCTTCTATGTTCTGTTACACCATTAAAGTGGATTTCAACCTATGTTTTCTAACAAGATAAAGATAAATATTTACAAGTTTGACAGAAAAAAGGAGGTGCGATGAGAATAAAAAAATAGCGAGTATGAGAAACAGTTCGTAAGAGCGGAGAGCAATCGACATACCATGATTATAGAACTACACACATAGGTCCAAACGAAGAGTGCCAATGTGAGTAGTGGCTCGATGATGCGGATATAAACTCAAGGACACATTGGGACCGGAGAAGAAATGAGTGTAATGGAGAAGAAAACAAATAGTTCATGATAGGTTCACAATAAGTGTTTTGAGTTGAGTTTTGAAAGATTCATAATTTTTCGTTCTTTTGGATGATAGTTGAAATCTAGATAGTGATTGAATTTGCCGATATTATAATATTTCAACATTTTTATTTTTCTTTAGTTGTATATTGGTAGATATTTTAAAGATTATGAAAACGATAGATCTTTTAATCATTATATTACTTAAGTTAAGGATGGGTCTCCCTTTGAAATATTTAATTGTTTTCACCATTCCAAAATTGCAAAACAATGGAATTTAGATGAGACATAATATATCTTGTGGAAAATATAGTATGTACAAGAAGCATTACTTAATCTACAATATGATTACATTTAACTATAACATAAAAGTGCACTCCTTAAGAAGATTTTTCTTTGGTTTTTTAAAATGAATATGTTAATATATTTTTAACTTAATTATCATCGTACAATTAAGATTGACAAACGGGTAATAAAAACAAAAGTTAAGTTAAGTTAAATGGAAATGTTATTTTGTTAGTATAGTAATTTAGGAATGTTTTATAAAAGAACCGTTAGAAATCCGGAAGTCGAAAGGGTTAGGTCGGTGTATTCGCGCTTAAAATAACCTTCTTCACTCGTCCTTCTCGCTTCTCTCCAAACAGCGCCGGAGACATACATGTTTCTTTGAAGAAGAGGGTCTTATTTGCAGGCAACATCTTCCTTCCTTTTTTCTTCTATCGACACCACCGTTTCCTCTTTTTTCATTCTCCGGCGTTCAACAATCCTCTGCGTTTCCCTTTTCCTTTGTTAGGTAACGTTCTTGATTTTTTTTTTTTTTTTTTTTGTATTTTATTGATTTCGTTTTTGTTTTTTTTAGGTATTTAAAATTAGGCTGATCCCTTCATCACTGGATTCATCGGGCTATTGGGTTCTACCTCTGTTCTTTGTAGTTGTAGTATGACGTCTGGTTCCGATGTCAGTTTGGTTCACCATCATCATCGATCAAGAAAACAAGTTCATGTCTTTCTCCTCTGATTTCTAGGTTGTGAGTTTAATTGTGTATTTTTCACCTCTGATTTCTGGGTTTCTTTTTTCTTTCTATTTCTCGTCCATTTATTTTTTGTTTTGTTGGGTTTTTTGAACCAGGTCACGTAATAGAAAGCACCCATCAATATATATATATATATATATATATATATATATATATATATATATATGTGTGTGTGTGTGTGTGTGTGTGTGAAGTTCATAATTGCATGTGATACAGATAGAGCAAGAGAAACACACTTGCATTTGATCATGAATCAAATCCATGGGCATTTTACGTAAGTGTTTTACAGCATCATATTTTCATTTTCTTTCTATTACATTATTGTACTTTCAACTTTTTCTTTATCAAGACATTGTACTTTGAAAATTTTACCTAATTTACATATTTACCCTTTTGGCTAATTTTAACTAAATCTATTATCGACATGTAATTCCAGGTTTTGCAATTTTAGTAGGATCTTATTCATACAATTCAACGTACGCGAAGAGGCAGAATGCTGTCAAAAACAGTTGGGAGGTAAATAACTAATTTGCCCTCTAACTTCTATCAACCACTTATTATATTTATTGTGATTTCAGAATTTCTCCGGAACAGACTAAAAGGTTTACAATAATCATAGAAAGGGATCGAGAAAGATGTGGTATGAAAATACCTTACATTTCATTTCAAATTATTTAAAATGTGGCTTTTTATTTAAGTATTTTATTTTTGTTTTTAAGGTAAGGACTTGACATCTCATTGCCTTTCTATGAGGGTGATGATAATCCAAATGTATGCATTGTGCATGATATATTGATGACTTACTTGTTCTACAATTTTCAATCTTGTTTATTGCCAGTGTTATATTATTATTTATAGAGTAAATTACAATTTCTTCCTTGTGATATTTTGAAAAGCTATTATCTTCATCTAGATAATAAAAGTATAGTAGTTTTGTTGCAAGGTTGGTCCCTAGTATTCCAAAATGTTTGTGAAATGACTATTTTGTCCCTCTCTTTTTCTCCTTCATCCTCTAAACCTAAAGTTCCTCAAATCTTCATCTTAAACTCCAATCAAACCAAAACCCAAAAATTAAACTAAATCTAAAACAAAATTAAGATCCAGGGTACCAACAAACTAAAGAAAAAAACAGAAAACTAAAGGTTTTTTTTTTTTTTTTTTTTTTGAGGGGGAGGGGGTGTTGATTGAATTTAGTTAGGTCTCTATGATTTAAGATGAAGGAGATAAGGGCAAAAAAGTCATTTTACTTAAAACTAATCAGTCATATTACTTTTAAACCTTTTTTTTTAACACTGTTAGCGCCAGGGACTAACATTGCAAAAAAAACTAAATTTGATTGTTAACTATTTGAGGGTTTTTTTTTTTTTTTTTTTTATAAATTATACACAATGTTTTGCTAATTTTTGTAAGAAACAATTTTTTTTTTTCTCACAGTGCTTGAGTGATCTTTCTTCAATATCATTATTCATCATGAAAGATGAATCACAAGCTTTCTGGTGTTTTTTTTTTTAATGGAAAGATTAGGCCCAAATTTCAACCGTGATCTAGGGTATTTTGGCCATTTAATAAAAAAAAAAGAGTAATGTAATTGAAACCAGCTGCCTTCATGAATGGTTGAAGTCCTTCAAATTTGAAATGTAAAGGAATTTGACAGAGTTGAATGATTGTCAAACAAATGCAGCATTGAATGGAATCCACAGTTCCAATTCTTGGCTGCTAAAAATGGAATTTCAAGAAAATCCAACAGAACTGAATTCTGTCCCAATTGTCTGTCAACCAAATACATCATGAAATGGAATCTCGAATCCCAACTCTGTCGGAATCCGCTATTCCATTTCTTATCACCCTGAATCTCAGATTTCTAGCCTATAAATCAGCTTAATTACTAGAGTTATATTGACAAGAAAAGCATGTGATAGCAAAGATATTTTGCTGATTAATCTGAAGCATAGTATATATATATATATATATATATGAGTCTTAGCAACAGTGTACTTACATTCTTCGTCTGTTTTGACCCCTTTACTTCAATTGGTTATTTCGCAGGTTATTTCTCACACTTTACATCCCTATGTTTTTTCTCTATTTGTCACTTTATTAATTTCTTTCTCTTTCTTTGCTCTATTGTTAAGGGAAATACGTGGGTCGTTGGCCTTAATATTCATGGGCGATACGTGTCCTCCCCCATCATACACCGCCTCTAAGGTACAATAACAGTACTCTACGTATGTTCCACTGCACTGCCGATTGTGTCCTCCAGTTCATCTCTATCTTCTCCAAGCTTTGAAACGTTCCTTCCTCCATCTAAGATACTCTCTGCCTTCCAAACCACCTTCCACCGCTCCCTTTTTTCTTTGAGTCCAGTGTGGTTTGCGGATCTGAATTTCGGGATTAGCTCTGTCTCATTTCCGTTCTCTACCATGGTTACCATCACCACATCCGCCTATTGTTTCTGTTACTCTTTTGGGTTTACCTTCAATCAAATTATTCCACCTGAGATGACGACGACTTGAGTTATAAGGTTGGTTGTGTTTTTTTAGATACGCACACCACCTGTTCGATAAAATTCCCAAAAGATATAATAAAGAGGGGAACCTATGATTTTAGTATTTTGACTATTTTCCCACTTTCCTCTTAACAGGTGTCTTTATAGATAGAAGAATGATATGGATAAGTTGCATGAGGAGGAAATGGAACTGAGGGAATCATGGGATCCGAAGATTTTATAGCTTATAATATTATTCCTCCTGATGCCCCTGCTGTAACAAATGATATCACTTCTTTCCCTAAGGTGAATACCATTTCATTTTCTTCATCTATCTGTTCACTTACTTTCGTCTTATTTATATTATTATTCAATATTCGATGATGTTTCACTTAGGTAAGTGCTGCAATATATTGCCACCCTAAAGGTTAGAAAACTTTTCTGATCAAATTTAATGTAATTTAGTATGATATATTATTGACTTTTGAGTACCATATCTCTACAACCTTAAACTAAATATTTTTTAATTTTCTGCATCTTTTAGGTGGCCTTTTGATGCTTTGTCAGAATCATATCCATATCAAAATTCCACATGAAAGGAAAATGAAGAAAAACATTGAAATAGGCTATTATTTTATATACTATTTCAACTACTTGCATCAAAATATAGTTTTCTAACTCCTTTTTATCTGTTTTTTTTTTTTTTTATTTTGATAGAAAAGCATGTTAACTTCCATCATTAATGCAAAATTAAAGAAGCTTGAAGAGAATTCATTAGATAAAAAATAACACAAAGATTACATTTACAAAGCAAAGATAATAACTCTCTTCTAACTAACATTCTAACAAGCTTTATACATAAAAGACCAAATTACCCTTGGCCCTTGGGTTTAGCTAAAAGATTCATTTTGTTTTCCTTACAGATTCCTAAATGGCTTCAAGGTGAAGGATCTGGGCCCACAAAAGAAATGTATGTATTTATGTCCTTGACTTTTTTAAGGTCATTCCAACTGTACTTTGACTTTTCTTATTATCAGTTCTAAATTAGTTGATATGGAAGGTAAATATATTTCTGTTGCTGTATATATATACAGAGGATTGAAAGGAGCAGTGATTGTTTGCAGCTGTTGTGGCCAAAAACCATTACAAGAGTTTATAAAAGAGATCATGAGATGCTGGTATATATAGAAATTCTAATATCATATTAATTTTCAGTAATTGAAAATCCATTTTTAAGAGTTAATTTGAGAAAATAGCAATGTCAGTTATTTGTTTGTTATTACATCATATCTTTATTTATTCACAGAATAGAAACCAAATTTCCCTTCTTTTGGTAGGGATGAGTTGCTTTCTCAAAGTACATTGCTATCATTGCATAGATGTGAATCCTTATCATGGGCTGATTTTGATTCATGGATGAGGGAAGTGTGTGTGTGTGTGTTTCCACTCCTTGAAGGAGTGGAATGACTGAAACTATTTTTATTTTGTAATTGTATTTTTATATTGTATACATTAAATTCATACATAAATTGTCCCTATGAGTCTCTGACAGTTTTACTATTACAAATACCAATTATGTAACAGTTAACTATAAGAAGGACAATTTATGTATCAATTTATTGTGAAGTTCATAAAGAGAAACACATTTGCAAGATGATCATGAACCAAATCCTTGGGAATTTTATGTAAGTACATTTCATGTAATACAATTTGTTTTTTAATCTTTTTCATAAAGTAAAACCTGAATGACTTGGATTTTTTCATAAGTAACAATTCTATATTAACCATCCGTAAATATAAACTGCCATATGAAGAAGAGGAGGATTTTTCTATTTGGGGACACCTGGCATGCTCGTTTAGAAGCTGTATACTCATTTCTATTACGTTTCTCCATGTTTTAAAGGTTTTGCTCAGATTCTTCCATGTTTTTCTAAATTTTGGGTTTTAATTTTTCCTGACTGATGGGTTTGATATTTATCATATCCAACTGATTTTGGAAAAAGCTTATATCAATCAGGTTGTGTATTGTTCCTGATAAAAATTGCTTTCTTTTAGCAAAGAGTTCAATCTATTTTTTTTTTTTTTTTTTTTTAAATATGGTACTCATTTCTTGGTTTGATAATGCGTTTGGTCTCAACTTCAAACAGCCTATATGCTAAATTTATGAAAAAGACCATTTTGCCAATGTCTTTTTCATCTCTTCCATGTTTAAGGAGCATATTTTACCCTCAATAAAATTCACCACTTCTCTTAAAAAATTATTTGGCTTACATTTAAGGAGCATAACAACTTTAACAACACAGATGTTATATATTTGTACATGACCATTTTGCCCCTGTCTTCTTCTTCTCTTTCATTTCTATGTTCAATCAAATTAAATAGACCCTAAACAAAATTCATCTCTTTCGTTTCCACATTTATAAGTTATTGTTGTTTATAACAACTCATTTTTTGTTTCAGAAGAGGTGATTCTTGTGAATAACTTTTAGGACCCTCTTCTGACCAAGTTTTTCTTGGGAAAACAACTTTACAACTTTTTTATGACAACCTTGTGACCAAGTTTTTTATATTCTGGTCTTCTGATGTATTATTTCACCATCTACTTCAGTTGTGATGGGAAATGGTAATTCCTTATAACGATTACATCACAGTTTTCATTGCTTACTCTTCTTCATGTTCAATTTTTTGATGAATCATTTTCAAGAACATCACTATTCGTTCGGTCCCTTTGCATTTTTCTTGGTCTTGATTCAGTACCGAATTACACTCTTGCTGATATCAGTCAGCAATCTATGCTATGAATGTTTAAAGCACAACAGCTCTTTGTTTTTATATTTGTATAAATTATATTGTTCTCATGTTACAGACATCAGAGATACGTCCGTATGCTGTTTGTGCTGTTTTGAGAGGCATAACTCTCAGTGAGGCAAGATATAACAGCTTCATTGATCTCCAAGATAAGCTTCACCAAAATATATGCAGGTAATATGTGAATCTTATATTTTTTTTATGCAACTGTAGTATGTTACAAGTGAGGTTGCTGACATCACTGGTTTCAAAGTATGCATTGTATCACAGGACATATAAGATTGAATTTATAAACTCACGTCATATTTATCTAAAACGAGTAAAGTAGAAATATGTGTTGATTAGTTCGACATATATAAGTGATTAGTCAATGGGATAATGTGAAAAGTGTAAAAATGTAATAGTAAATAACACTAGAGACTTGGAGTTAAATTATGTTATAAAGGAAGCTTAAAGGTATTCTATCACAATGGATTCGTCTTACAACTATTCTTCTTCAATAAACATAGTATTTATGTACACCTTCATCTTTTTGTAACCATTTCCATCTCTCAAACCTACAACACCTCACCCTTTATTCATTCACATTTTATCATCATCATCATCTGTTGGAATCCTAAGTCGATGAGGACTTGGAGACCAAGCAATCTAATTTATGGAAAGTTTAGTTTATGGCAAGTTGGTCATAAGTTTCCTAGTCTAATACAAGTTGGTATGTTAGGCTATATATACGTGTCCATAATCGAGTTTATGATTATGAGAACAGATTGTAAAAACATTGGTTTTGAGTGATTTTCCAATTAATCAAAGAGTTATTTTGGTTATTTGTTTTGCATTCTTGTTTTCAAAACTTTATCATCATCATCATCATGAAAGCTCCACAAAATATGCACATTTAACCAAATTTTCATTTGCTATTCACTTCCAAAAGCAACAATTGTTTCAAATCCTACACATGTTCTACCTTCCTTCCTACTTGTTGTACTTGATCTTTCGGCTCACAATATCTTTTCCAAAACCAATGTTGCTGACATTACTGGTTTCAAAACATATGCAGGTAATATATGAATCTTACAAGTGAAGTTGCTTACATTCACTATGTAGTTTCCAACGTACCTTTTTTTTATGCCGCCTAAGATCTTGTTGTTGATGAATTGTTTTAGAAGTTCACAAGGCTGTAACAGCTAAAGTCGAGCCTTTGATGCTTGTTCATTGTTTAATAATTGAATTCAAAAGCAAGAAGCCGAGGACATTATCTGATCTGATATACATATAAATTAAAATATCACGTCTTCATTTGATTTCTATACATCAAAAAACGGTATTCACAACTTATAAATCATGAGCCAAAACACCTAAATGAACTAACAATTACAATTCTCAGTTTTGGATCCAAAATAGCCACTGTTAAAAGCTGTTTTATCAGACTTGAAACCTTTATAACTTCTGTTTTTATTTCATATTCTAGAAGTTCAGACTTTTATCTTTTCAGAATGTACTTTTGAAGGTCCAAACGATTTTTCTACAATTTTATATGATTTTTACAAAATCTTAGTCTATTGCCAAGAGCCTACTACGATACTAACCCATTTGCTCTCTCTCTCTCTCTCTCTCTCTCTCTCAACCATAGTTTTCCATCAAATCAGTTTCTACATCATCTAACCTAAGTATCCTTCTCCATGATCCATCTCACCGGATTTTGGATCTCGCCGGCCACCATGTTGCCGCCGAAAAATGTGGCACGTTTCTGTCTCTCTCTGGACAGAGCACTGCAGCCAGCAAGCCGGTTTTTCCGTCGGAGCACTGCCACCACTAATTCGTTGTCTCACCGGATTTTCGATCTTGTCGGCCACCATGTCACCGCTGCAAATGTGGCACGTTCCTCTCTCTCTCTCTCTCTCTCTCTCTCTCTCTCTCTCTCTCTCTCTCTCTCTCTCTCTCTCTCTCTCTCTCTCTCTCTCTCTCTCTCTCTCTCTCGACGGAGTACTCCCTCCAGCAAGCGGATTTTTTCCGTCGGAGCACTGCCACCACCAACTCGCCTCCGGCAAATAACGAATAGCAGCCTTCGACGAACAACCGGTGATTATACTACCGCCACTGCCATTGGATGGCAGACTCCGGAAAACAACATATAAATAAAGATACGAAGTTGGAAATAGGTAACTTACTGTATTTCGATGAACAACGATTCCGACAACTATTTTCCGGCAAATATGTTTTGTTTTCCGGCAGCTTGTATTAAGTTTATTGATTTTTGTATTAATTTTACTGTATTAAGCTTGTATTAAGTTCACTGATTAAGTAAACAAACTTATAGACAATGTAAATTTAATTAGTTATGTTTTTTTTGTGCTTTCATTTTGGAAAGTAGAAAATTACGTAAGTTATGATTTTTGTGTTTTCATTTAGGAAAATAGAAAATTAAGTATGGAAAATAGTGGATAATTTTCTTAAAAAATAGTTCTGGAATATAGTCAAAAAGCCAATAAAAATTAGTCAAACATTCAATTGAAAAAGAAGTCAAAATAGCCTTAATAGCCCGAAGTGTTTTGAGAGTGAAATGTAAAGATAATAAGACATATTTCAAAGGGTGATAAGGGGGATTTTAAATAAATTACATAAATAATGACACCAATAGTCCTTCAATTTTAAATAAATTACATAATGCCTTCATATTACATATTACTTAACATACATCTTTTACGCCTTATATGAAAAACGGTATAATGACTTAAAAGAGTAATATATTTTTTGATTTTTACATATTTAGTCACTGAGTTTTTTTTTCGTCCATATTTATCGCTTCAACTGTACATATTCAGTCCTTATGGCCGGTTACTCCAGGTTAGCCGGGAAAAACGACTTACTAGGGTAATATATTTCTTATTTTGTACACATCTAGTCCTTATTATTTTGTACACATTTAGTCCTTAATATTTTTTGTTTCAAAGTAAGTCCTTTTTGTTTTTGTATTCATTTGGTGCTTATGAATGATTTCTTTAGGTTTTTCTCACGGCATCTTATGTGGAACAATCGTTCATGAGGTGTTTAGGGTTGTTGATGCTTATTTTCATTGCGATCTCAACTGTTTGGTTGCGTAGGTCTTGTGGTGTGGCTTAGATATTGTGTTCTGAACATCATAACTTCTTCATACGATATCAGATTTTAAGGATCTATATATCCACATGTCCGTTTTTTTAGTCTACTACAACCTTCATTAAAATTACTCCCTTTATAATGTAATATATTTTTACTTCAAATTTTATTTAAAAAAATCTATACATGCATTCATAAAAAATGTATGGATATAAAGATTGTAAATAAAAATATATTACATTTTAATGGGAATAATCTAAACTAAAGTTGTAGTAGACTAAAATATGAACACACAGATATAAAGATCATTAAAATCCAATATTGTATGAATAAGTTATGACGTTTAGAATACATGATCTAAACAATCAAGTAACCGAGATCATGATGGACATATGAAACAAAAGCCTCAAACACATCATTCTGTGATGGAGTTAGTGTCAAAGTAAAAGAGTATCCCAGATTTTTTTTGTAATATACAATAAGAAATAAGAACCGCAATTTCATTAGATATAAAGTTCAACTTCCATAACAAACTTATGTTTTAAAGTGCACCTCTTCTCTCTTTTATTTTACATAAGCGAGTAATTACATTTTCAATCTTAAGATTCTCTAGTGCTTCCTTTTCTACACTACAAATCAAAGCACAAGTTATAAAATCGTCACCTATTCTATTACGCAAATCGGTCTTCAAGAACTTCATTGCAGAAAAACACCGTTCAACGGTTGCGGTTGCGACAGACAAAGCCAAAGATAGTTTTAATAAGCTATAAACCAAAGGAAAAGAAAGGTGCTTCCCGGTTTCCGCCAACAAACGAGAGAGGTCTACAATTCCCCTTCAAGTTGAAAATCTCTCATCATGGAGCAAAGAGTGATAATAGATATCAAGTTGCCCATTAAATTGCGCCCTTCCTGAATCACCAACATCGTTTTTGTATATCTCGCTTAGCTTTAACAACTTTGCTTTATCACAACTTCAAAATAATGTTGATTAGTATTATTGGTCATATGCTTGCGTGGGGTAACATAATATTCTGACATGTCCACAATTCCAATATCATGCTTTTCACAAAAAGCACATACCTTCTTACAAATTCATGGAAACTCATATTTCTAAAAACTAGCAATGATTTCTTTCTCCCTTTTACTAATGAAGCCGCTTCTAAAATATTTTGATCTTTTTTTAAGATGCTTTGACACGGTATCTGTGAGACATAGAATTTCCAACATCAAGTGTAAAAGAAACACGAAATCAAGTGTCTTGAAATATGACAAACTACCCTTTGCTTGATTATGGTTAGATAAGGTAGACCCATCCTATCATACATCATACATACTTATAAAAGAAGCATTTTTCCTTGATTCTTATGCATTTGAAACCCCCTAATTTGATTTCCTTGATTATTATGCATTTGAAACCTCCTAATTTAATTAATACCACTCAAAAGACTTTTTAATAATAATTATTAATTGGTTCTTTAATGTAAAAATAATATGAACAACATCAAACATAACAAGACCAAGTATAAATACGATGAATAATAGGAACATCTTTGTTATATTTTGCAAGGATTAAGGACCTTTAAAGAAGGAAAAAAGACTTTTATGTGTGTATTGCTTTTCATACAAATTTCAATATATATATATATATATATATATATATATATATATATATATATATATATATATATATATATATTTGTTTGTTTTTACCAACTGTTCAATGTGTGGTTGCTTCTGGTATGTCACATGTTATATTCGGAGTAAAAACTTTTGCATAAAGATGCACTTAATTCCATTCAGTACAGGTACTAAATTAATTTTTGACTCACGCACACACAAACAAATCTTGCTGAGCATTTTAAATTATTTGAATAGATTCGGTTTTCATCATCATTCCTTCAACAATGGAAATTATCTCTACCTTCACTATTTGACACTTCCATATGTATCCATGCGTGTAAGAACTTCTATTTTTCTTAGGATTTTTTTTGTTAAAACCATTTTAATATCTAAGAATATAAAAAAAGATGGAAAACAGTGAAATATTCATCCTTGGCATCAGAAGGTGGATTTATTGAATCCTAGAAGATATTGAAAAACATGAAGTCATATTAGCAAATGTATTGCTACATATAAATTGTTTTACATGTCAATTGGTCCTAGTTTCCACTAAAGTCATGATTTCCTATTTGATCCTATAAAATATCACATGTGAATGTCACTTTGTGCATTTGCAGTAGCGTAATCGGGATTGAATCCGAGAAGTAGAGTTATGTGGTGATAAACAAACATAGATTTCATAGTATTTGTTGGATGTTTTGGCTTTGATAGAAAAGAACCCATCAAATACAAAAAGAAAAAAAAAAACCAACAACATTAATATATTTCTAAAAATGAAAACGTTGTATTTTGAATAACATGAAACAGTAGGGTAAAATATGAAAGGTATTATGATATAAATATCAATAACATATATTAATATTTATTTGTCAAAATTTTAAGTACGTAATTTTACGTTGCGCAACGCGCGGCTATTCACCTAGTTTGACATATTTAAGTGTCGCAACAACTTCTGCAAAAAAAAAAAAATCAAAAAACTTACAATTGTTTTAAAATGTGAACCTCATCTAGTATCTCCAGCTCAAACATGAGAAATCTCTTGATTCAACTCTCTTCCTGGTTTAGTTTCACCGAACACCGTTCCTAACTCCATAATCTCCATTCCGGCCACCGCTTCACCAAGACCCACATTCACCATTTCACCACCATGACCACCAAAACCACCACCCACCCTTATTTCCTCAAAACATCCAACCACCTTACCCTACAGTCCTACTTCATAAACCCATAGCAATTGACCTTCAAACAAGCCTTCACAACTTTCTAATTCCACTCTTCATTCACTTACCTTCATTAACTTTTTCTCTCCTCTTCATCCCCTACATCACCCACACAAACATCACTACCCAACATCACCTTCAATCACCAAAGACCTCCCATATTCCTCCATTATCATCATCCCTAATAGCTGCAAGCCGCAACAACTTCTATAAAAAAATCAAAAAACTTACAATTGTTTTAAAATGTGAACCTCAACTAGTATCTCCAGCTCAAACAAGAGAAATCTATTGATTCAACCCTATTCCTGGTTCAGTTTCACCGATA